TTTTAACATTAAAGTTAAAACCTTACAAACCAACTCGCAATTTTAAAGTGTTTTATAGGAGTTGTTTTTCAAAATAATTTATATTTTAAAATATATTAAAATAATATTTTTTTTATTTTTAAAAATTTAATTTTAGTATTAACATATTAAAATAATTTTTTAAAAATAATTTTAATAATAGTTTTTAGAAAACCAATTACAACATAATTACAAGCAGCCTCTTGACAGTTGGATAAACAACAATGTCATTATCCAAATAGACTAGAAGAATAATTGCATTAAGGATCCCCTTGTGGCCATTGATCAAGCATCGACGTCTGAAATTTGCAACGTTACTTACCAGATGAAACCATTTCATCAGAAGTGTCTACCTCATTAGAAATCAAAAAAAAAAAAAAAAAAAAAAAAAACAGTTATTCATTGGTAAGTTTTCTAGATCATAATACTATAATTCTTCCATATTCTTCCCTACCAAAATTATCTTGTGTTATAAATTATTGCTTTAGAACCCTTGATTGCCTGCATCTTTCTCTGTCCTAATTCCCCCTATCTATTTTCCTTTTTAATTTCCAAAATTCTCACTTTCATGACATTTGACCAAGAAACCACTAAAAAAATATCCACCTTGAAATCTAATGTATTAAAAGGAGCTTTCTTTTTAGAGTCTACTTTCATCCATCTCTGAACAACTCTTATATGCATCTTCAGCTTTCCAAATTCTTTCTTAAGCTTGAAGAACCCAACTTGGCTTTTCTCGCTTTTTCTAGTTCTAATCTCTAAAGGGTCTCTAAATTTGCCTCTCAATTTCACAAATTCTCCTTTTGGACAAGACCTCTTGCTTAATTGGTATTTCTCATAAAGGGCTTTAATTGGTGTCTTCTAATTTAAAAGTTTGGCCTTTTCTGGGTTTTATGGAGCTGCCAAACTTTTAGCTTTAATGGGTACAAGGTGATCCCTCAATTTTCCCTTCTTCTTTGGTTTACTTTTGCTGTTTGTTCTGATTGCTCTCTATTGGATATGAAATAGGAATTATTTTGTTGATGGTTGTTTTAATTTGTAAAAAGAGTTAGTTTCTTTATATATTCTTATGTATTTGACAATGGTACTTGAAGTTATAGTTTTTGCTTTTAAGTTACAGTTTGGTTACCTAGAAACCTATGGGAAATGAAAGATGTTAGAATCTATTGATGGGCACACCTATATTGACTCTCAATGATCTCGAATTGAAAGCAGAAGTGTTAACTTGGCTTCTTCTTCTTTTTCCATGTATCCTTGATCCTGTTGTACATTAGGTGATCATGCCGTTCTTTTAAGGGTTATGTTGTTAATGTTGATAGTGATACGCGCATGCTGCAGAAACTCAAATGCTTCAAAGCTTTCTGTTGCGAGGTCTTTTCCTTACAAAGTAGGAATAAAATGCAGTTTTGAAGTTGGTCACTTGATTTTATTGTTAGCCTTGTATAGACTGGTGTATTTTGCACAACTGAGACAATTCATATCCTTTAGCTCTCCCTTTTTTAGAGGACTAGAAATTACATTTTAGCTAAAGGAATGGGAAGGCTAGTTGGTCTTTGTTATATTTTTTTATTCCTTCTAAATGCTTTTGAGTAGTTGAGCCTGATAGTATAAAGAACTGAACTTTCCACGCTAGAATTTTTGAAATTCTCAATAGACAATGCTAATATAGTTACTTAATTATTGTTGTTGAGATGACATGTTTCGTTCCCTTTTTACTATGCATATCATGTACTATTCATTTTGTAATCTATGGTTTCCAACCTTTTTTTAATTGGATGAACCTATGGTTTCCAACTTCGGGAAATGGAAGTAATGTTGTGTTCTATATTGAAGGTCTATTTCTTTTGATTCTCCCGATTCTCTTTATGAAAGGAATCTCATAGATGATTCAGATAAGGTTAACCGAAATGAGGAAAGAATCCTGAAACTTCACGAGTCAAACGGGGTGGTGGAACAGACCTCAAGTCCATTAAAAAGAGAAGTAATTAACAGGTATGCTTCCATCATTATTTTAGTTTATCTTCTCAATTTATTGCTTGATATTGCATGTCAGTGATCAGTCGAGATTGTGTACTTTGGACAATGAGAGCTCAAGCTACTTTTCTTCCTGTATCATTCCTCCATTTCTCCTTGTGTATGTATTTTTTGTTAGCCAGACATCATTGAGTGGACTGGGTTTAATTAAATCTGTTAGAAAATCAGGAAAAGATGATCTTGAATTGTTGAGTGCATAGATGCAGACTGAACACATAGTTCAGTACTAGAGGGTGCCTTTGCTGAGAGTGCACTCTGAAGCTTGAAGCTTTTTCAAATAATTATTCAAAATGTGCTTTGAATGCATGGCACATGGTTATCAGCATTTTTCTTTATCCCTACCTTTCAGTGGGGTGGGGTTTTCATTTCCTTTCTCTCTCTCTCTCTTGTGTGCTCTCTCTCTCTCTCCCCCCCTTTTATTTCTCTGGAAAAAAAAGATTGGGGGGGGGGGCAGTGTTGTGAGGCAAGGAACTGAAAACATTGTCGATACTGACATGGAAACTCTGGGTGTTGGGTGTGTTCCTGGAGCTTTATAAATAATGATGACGCCCTCATGATTAGATGAGCAAATCAATTGGATGAAGAAACTTTGATTATTGGCTACAACAATTGAAGAATGTTTAGAAAGTGAAAAATGTAGAAGTTGTAGTGAAGGTTCTAATTTGCTCACCACAGTGGAAATGGAGTAGGCCTGCCAGACATTAGTGAAATA